ATTGTCAGCGTACTTGGGGACTCATACCAATTATAGTGATATTTCTCTGACAGGCCCCCGGCAAACTGCAACTTGGAGCTCCTCAACGCTGAGAAACAAAAGATATTTTCTTTATGGGCGCTTTTCTAGTGGCGTTTGAAATCCTGTCGTTTAAAGCTGTCCTGGTTTTTCTTGTTCATTTGAGTAGTTTATGTGCTTCATATGAAGACCTGCGTTAACTTGTATTTGTAACAAGTATAATTGTTATAATTCACTGTATTTCAGAATATGCTAATTATAGTGAGCCTTGTTTCCTTACAACTCTGCTAGGCAGAGGGGATGATGTTTCAAGCAGATTACCCAGCAAAAATACTAGCCTTTGCTACCTTCTCTGGCTCCCTACTTAGTTCCTATTAAGGCATTTGACTGCTAATTAGAAGGTTGGTGGTTCAAACCCACCAGCTGCTCCTTGGAAGGAAGATTGGGCAATCTACTTCCATAGTGATACCGCCTCGGAAATCCAAGGAGGGGTCGCTATAAATTGGATCCGACAGCAGTGAGGTTTTTTTTTCCTCCAACTTCAATCACTTCCTTTCTGTCACCCCTCTGTTTCTCCTTTCATTGTCTTACTGGAATCAATTCAGAACTGTACTACTCTTTTTGAAACTTTCTACAAATACAAGAAAAGAGCCCCCTCTGACCTAATTTCCACCCAGTTCCTTCGCCTCCTAACTCAGTGATAGTGTCAGCCTCTTCCCGGTTCCCTCCCCACACCTGAGGAAAGAGAAGTGCTCTTCACTTGTACTGCTTTATTTGAATGCAACCCACTTCCTCCCTCTGGGCCAATGAGTCATTTTCTCTTTTTAAAAAGAGCCTTAAAAATCTTCCATTTCTCTTTAGTTTAAAATTATTCTCCATGTGAAGTACTTCATGTCCTATGTCTGAAAGACACCCCATAGGGGAGAGAAGATTGCCTTAACAACTCAAGGACTACAGATCATGCTTGACCTACCAAGGCTTTAGAATTTTGAAATAAATGAACATTATTTATTTTTCTTTTTATGGAGGCAAGGATTTCTGTCTCTTTTGTTCATTAGTGAAATCCCAGAATCTAGATGCACGGTAAGGAGCTCTAGTGGCACAGTGCCTAAGGCATTTGACTGTTAACCAGATTCCTGGTTCAAACCCACCAGCCACTCCGCTGAAGGAAGATGGGGCAATCTTCTTCCATAAAGATTTACTGCCTCCGAAACCTAATGAGGGTCACTATGAGTTGGAATTGACTTGATGACAGTGGGTTTGATTTTTGGTTTTAGCTGCGTAGTGGATTTTGAATAAACACGTGTTGAATGAGTAAATGACTGTTTCCCTCCTCCTCAATCTTCTTTAACTTGGTCAACACCATTTGTGGAGTTAATATTTTTCACATTGGAATGTCCTATAATTAAATAGGAAATACTCCTAAAAAGGTAGTAAAAAGTGAAAGATTTATCAAACTGCAGATCAAATATAAAATTGCTATACTATTAGGGTTAGTTTAGAAAATGCCTGAAGAGAGCTACATTCAGTTCAGAACAATTTATACAGTTTATACTACCATAGCAAAGATCTTCTAATTTGCATGTCAGTGACTCATCTCATCTACTACTATATGGTGTATTACCTTGGTATTAAAGCAATGTCACTCTGTATCGTAGCTATCAGAGTAATTGATTTAGGCACGAATTTCTAGTGGATGTTTGCAGTGCAGTAAATTACTTAATATGACCCTTCTAGCCATAGCCTTTGTAATGTCCACTAAATGACTGGGTGGGACTATGCAAATAAGGTGATTATGGACCAACAAGGGGATTAGATGGCTTACTAATAAGGTAAATAAGGTGCATGGTACCCTTGTGAGGATGGGACCATACAAACAAGGTGTATGGAACCCTACCGTGGGGATTGGTCAGTTTTGCCATCCCACTAGGCTTAATATGAGTCATCCCAGAGGCAGAGAGGGGGACCTTACAACCACCAGAAGACCACCAAGAAATGGGAGTGGAGCACTCCTTTGTGCTTAGGGTCCCTGTGCTGAAAACCCCTTCAACCCAGGAGACAGAGAGAGGGAGCTATAACACTGGAGAAGGTGAGAGAGGGTGAGAAGCGGTGGCAGAGAAACACACGCAGCAGAACCAGGAGACCAGCAGGAGATTGTGCAGTGGGCTTCCCTGCCCACGGAGCGAGAAAGCTCAGTGTCTTTAGGCAGGAGGCTTGCTGGTGGAGCAGGGTGCCTCCATGCACTTGGTGGAGCTAGGTTTGCTGACCCAAGGAGCTAGAACAGAGTGTCTTCAGCTTAAGGCTTACTGGTGGAGTGGGGTGCCTCTGGGGACTTATCAGCAGAGCTAAAAAAGCTTTGCAACACTTGCCTGAACAGAGCAGAGGCCAGGCTGAGGGGCTGAGAGCCAGAGAGAGACCTGCCTGCACCCTGGCTGAGAAAAGGTTATCCTGATCAAAGAACTATATCCTGAGCATTCCTGAACCTGACTTGTAACCTGTCACTTCCCTAATAAGCCCTGTAACCGTGAATATGATAAGTGAGTTCTGTGTGGCCGTTGCAATGAATTATTGAACCCAGCAGGGGAGTAGAGATTGCTGTGGAAATAGATGGTTGGTGTCAGAATTGGTAAAAAGATTGGAGAGATGAGGTATGTCTGACCTCCACTTCATAGGAATCAGCCTCGGGTTGCTGATATTGATTCTCCTTCCCCCTTGTGAAGTTAGAGGAAGTCAAATGACTCCACATGCCATTTTTACAATGTTAAAACCAATGAGTGAAAGCATCTTGGGAAACAAGATATTTATACAGTCTTCAGGTATCACACTACACATTACTTATTAATTATAAAGGCAAAAAGATCTTTTACAATGGAGGAATCTTATGAACATCATCTTAATCACATGATCAAACTTAACATCACTAATAACGTAACAAGCTGCCATCATGTGCCTTGCCTGATACACTAAGAAGGCCATAATATCACTTGTGTAGTATTCCTGCCAAAAATGTTTAACATTTTAAATAATAATTAAAAAAAAAATCATACAACTCCAAACTGAGAGATGTTCTACAAAACATTTGACCTGAGTTCTTAAAAAATGTCAGTGTCACAAAAATCTAATCAAGGCTGGGGAGTTATTCTCATCAAAGGAGACTAAAGAGACATGACAACCAACACAATGTGTGATTCTCCATTGATCTGGAAGCTAAAACAAATGAAAAATATCTCAAGAACAATAAAAGACATTATTGGGACAATTGAAGACACTGGAATATGATTGCATATTAGGTAACAATATTATGGCAATGTTAAATTTCCTGAATATGATAATTGTATTGTGGTTATTTGGAGAATATTCTTGTTCTTAGAAGAGATATGCTGATGTATGTTACATTGTGGGGAATTGCAGTCAATGTCATGAAACAAAAATGTATATGAACTTCTGCATGGAAAATGAATTTGCAAACTTTCACCCAAATCACAAGTGAAAAAAAAAAAAGATACGCTGATGTACTAAGAGGTGAAGTGTCATGATGTCTGCAAATCTCAATGGTTTCAGAAAAAAAAAAAAAAAAACCCAACTCTCAACTGGTTCACACACATGTATGTATATGAGATATTTATAAAAAAACAAACCAAACTCACTGCCGTTGAGTTAGATCCTATTCATAGTAAAGTGACCCCTCCTTGGGTTTCCAAGCAATATCATTATGGAAGTAGATTGCACAACCTTCCTTCCAAGGAGTGGCTGGTAGACTGCCAGCCTTCTGTTTAGCAGTCAAATGCCTTAGGCACTACGCTAGCAGAGCTCCCCATGATATGTGTATATGAGTGTATCATATACACACATCATACACACATGATATGTGTATATGTATGTGCATACAATACACTCATATACATTGTTGTTAAGTTCTGTGGGGTTGGCTCCAACTCATAGTGACCCTGTATACAACAGAACGAAACACCACCCAGTCCTGTGCCATCCTCACAATCACAACACTATTTCTGAGCCCATTATTGAGCCACTGTGTCAATCCATCTAATTGAATGTCTTCCTCTTTTTTGTTGATCCTCTACTTTACCAAGCATGATGTCCTTCTCCTGGACATTATGTATGTGTGTGTGTGTGTGTGTGTCTATGGGTGTGTGTGTGTAGAGAGAGAGAGAATGTGGCAAAATCCTCCAACTGATGAACCTCAGTGAATGGTAGATGTGTATTAATTGCACTAGTCTGGCAACTTTTCTCTCATTAAATATTTTTCTAAGTAATATGTTGTTAAAAAAAGTCTTAAAAGAAGTGCTATCATGGATTCAAGGTTATTGTGATTGTTTATTCAGATAAATAATGCTCACATTTTTTAAAATGGCAAATAACCTTTCTTTGAGTTTTCTGTTCTTTCCATCCTACTTCAGCCCTCCCTGCCCTCTGTCCACTGCCAGGTATCTCTCAGGCAGAGCCATCAACAGCTGTATTACGTGCACTAATCCATCAACAGATTCTGAATGTACCTCATGTACACGGAAATGATCTGCTTCTTCAGACAGGCGACTTCTCTCATAGAGCGTCTTACATACACATCTCATGTCCACCATGTAGAGCAGACTGCTTTTCTGGTTTTAGGTGAACAGCTTATCAGTACAACAGAAGCCATTCGTTTATCTGGAAGATGATTTTCTAGTTCCCTAGGGTCTTTTTCTTATGTCCTCCACTGCTCCTTTAGTCCTAGACCAAAGAAGAGCCCAAAGTATCTCTGAAGATGGGTAAACTATTGCTTCATTCTGTAACAAACTTGAGAAAAATAGATTCTGGACAACAAATAAGTGATATTTGCAATTATGAAGTAATATGCACTATGCAAGAATGTGACTTGTGTGCCCACATTGAGACTGATTATTTTGAAATTATTTTCTGTCCTACCCTCTAATCCTCTTGGTATTAACCTCTATGAAGTACAAAAGCATAATATTGGGACTTACGTCATAGTTGCTCCTGGATCTGCAGTCATTTGATTGGTCACAAACACAGCTACATTATATTCTGCATTGAAAAATAAAATTAAGGAAGAAGAGGAGGACAATATAAATTAAAGTTCACTGTTTAGTTTCATAATTTAGGAATATTACCTCATGATTTTATTTCATAAATAGGCTCATAATACTATTTTTTCATTGATAATAGAAATTAAATTATTTAATAATAATAATTTAAAAAAGCAAACTCACTACCATCAAGTCGATTCCAACTCATAGAGACCCCATAGACTTTCCAAGGCTGAAAATTTTTACAGAAGTAGACTGCTTCATCTTTCTTCTGAGGAGCAGCTGCTGGGTTCAAACCACCAATCTTTTGGCTAGCAGCCAAATGCTTTAATCACTGCATCACCAGAACTCTTTAATTAATTTAAAGTTATTATTTAGATACCTTATAGTATTAGTACCGATATTTTTGGTCAATAAAAAGAGTTGTATTTCCATGAAGGTTATACTATTTTTCAAAAGTGTATTATCTCCTGCCATCTTCCAAGCTTCTCGGCAAAGCCTACTTGACAACATAGCCATGGATGCTATACTGGTAGCATTATTTTATTTAAAAGGATTACCTTCTGAGATTTTTTGGAGTCGTGACAACATCTGGGCCAGTTTTTGCTGCCGTTCAGCTAACTCCCCACGACCACTGAAATCCACTCGGAAAAGTGCCATTATTGAATCAATGATCTGCACAGGAGTCATGTGAAAATAAATATGCATTTAGAAATGGAAGGGAGAGGTTAATTTGAATAGCTATCAACAGAAGAAAAATAATATGCTAAATATTATTATGCGTTGTGAGAGAGCAAGACTTAAAAGCTTGTACCAACAGCTTGAAGATGCCAGCTTCCTCATGGAATTTTGCTGCTACATAATCGAGTAGCTCCATCTGATGTTCACCTGGTGGGAAAAGCAGTGAGACATGAAAGCTAGAAGCAGCAGCAGGTTAAGATCTGTTAAGCCAGGCAAAATCTGTGAAACTCTGGTCTTTGGGGGGGAGGAGGTTCTCTTAACAATCTATGACTTCATTAGATATGATTTCATACTCTGCCTTAGCATGCATGCACAATGCCACATTATCCAAAATGAATATCACTCTCCATTTCAAAGACTAAGAAATAATTTGAGGGCATTTAAATACTTAAGGACTTACTACTCATTCTACTCACTGCCATCAAGCCAGATCTGACTCATAGCTACCTCTCCTTGGGTTTCTGAAGCAATATCACCATGGAAGTAGGTTGCCCAACCTTCCTTCCGAGGACTTACTAGATGATAAAATTTGGGGACTGACTAAATTAATTTGGAGGAAAGTGACTAAAAAGAGAATAGTGCCAAAATGTTGTAAGCCTCACTCAAATAGTAAATCAGTGCTGCCAACCTTCAAGTAACCCATGCATCTGATTGCCCAGGGCTCTTACTAGTGTATGCACGTGCATAAAGTACGTTGTCCAGCACAGCATCATGGTCTACGTTGAAGCGATCAGCAATGTCTCGAAGGCGATCCGGACGGCTGGAGCACGCCGAGGTTAAGGATCCAATAAAGCAATTTAAAAAACATCAAAACAACAACGACCTTAAGGAAGAACAATGTGTCTGCACAGGTATTCTAGAGGCTGTCCTCTGTAATCATCTCAAATCTATCTAGGCCAGATTTTCTTTGTTGAAAGTGCCTCCATTTAGAAATATAAGTAGTGGAAATAGCTGTAGAAATGATGGGGCAGTAATGGATTTAAAAACTGTCTCATCAAATCTTTACAAGAGCTTTGGAAACTAGTTGTTATGGCCTATAGTACAGTTTACAAATGGGGACACTGACAAAGAGAGATTAAGCAAACAATTTGGGATTATGCAGCAAATCAGTTATAGAACAACTAGAAATTTAAGATTAGTGAGTCTCTTGTCCTCAAGAAAATAGATCTATTCTAGGAAGATAAACCCACCACTACCATAGAGTCCGGGGAGCTCTGGTAGCATAGTGCCTAAGGCACTTGACTGCTAACCAGAAGGCTGGCGGTTCAAACCCATCCACCACTCCTCGGAAGGAAGGTTGGGCAATCCTACTTCCGTAGTGATACTGCCTCGGAAACCCAAGGAGGGGTCGCTATGAGTCGGAGCCGACTCGACGGCAAATAACAACAACAACAACAACCATAGAGTCCATTCCAATTCATAGGAACCCTTTAGAGAAAAACTGCCTCATAAGGTTTCCAAGGCTGTACATCTTTGCAAAAGCAGACTGCCTCATCTTTCTCCTGCAGAGTGGCTGGTAGGTCAAATCATTGACTTTTTGGTTAGCAGCCCAATGCTTTAACCACTGCACCACCAGAGCCCCTATTTTCTAGCAAAATAGATAGTATCACTGAATTATAATTCAAGTCATTTCAAGGTGTATCAATTCACTTTTCATATTGCTCTCCTGTTCAATAAAAAATAGTTTAATATGCCATTAATCTTGTGTTGCCAAAAAATGACAAATTTGACTACATGGACTAAAGGGTCAATAAAGTAACTTCAAAGGTCCAGAAGGGCAATGCAGGGCTTTTGGTTTATTTAGGATTTAAGGAGTTCTGGTAAGATGGCAGAATAGGCAGAAAGACTGCACAGACCCTCTTCAACAAAGAAAAGGGGAATTAATTAACACAGACAGAGAAGATAATCCTGGATACTGGGCCTTGAAAGTAAGGATATAGAAGTGGACTAAACTCCAACTAGCAGAAGAATTTGCATGAAAATACCAAAAAAGGAGACATATGGAGCTGTGGTCTGGCAGTGATCCTGATGGCACAGACAGCTTGGATATTGCCAAATGGTGGTAGGACCTAAGAATTAACCTAAAAATCAGCCCTGCTAGCCAGGGACTGCACGGAGGACTGCTCTGGTGGCTGGGGAATAAAAGGGGAGGCAGTGAAACCAGTGGGCTGAGTTGTGGACTTTTGCCTGTCCGGAGGGTGCAGCCATTTTGAATGTTTACAAGTGGCTTGACCATTTTGGATATTTAAAGTGACGGCGTTCTCCCAGATTCCAGGGGCTTAAGAACAGGCTCCACTTGCCAGTAACCCCAAGGACATTCCGGACCTGGACGACTAGAAAGGTGTGACATTCCCCTTGTTACTCATATACCCCACACCCTCTTGGTGAATGGAGGTGCAGCCATCCCCCATTCCCACCCACCTTCTGGGCCCACAGGAACTCCATCCTGTGTGCTCTGACAGAGCCTGGGTGCCCTGCCCTGCCCTGATTTTTTTTTCTCTCTTTTTTCTGTTTTTTAGTTTGCTTGTTTTTGTCTGTTTTAAAACTACTACTACTATTACTACTTTTGTCCTTTTTACTATTATTCTTTATTCTTCCCCTTCCAGGTCAGCTTTTTTTCTTTTCCCTGTTCCTGGTTGCATTTTTTTTTTTTTTCTTTCTCGTGGTTAACCCTGTTCCTTGTTTTTCTTATTGCATTTTTCCAATTTTTTTCTTCATTTTTTTCCTTCTTTACTTTTTTTCTCTTATTGCCCTATCCCCAGATATTGCAGGGTTTTTTTCTTTCTTTCTTTCTTCTTCTTCTTTTTCCTTTTTTGGTTACTATTCCTGTGTGATTACATGGTGTATTTCTTGTCCATTTGCTTTTACTTTTTTGATGGTTTTTCAATTGTTCTTTTTGTCTAACTGAGTGGGAGACAGCAACAGTCCCCATACAATAGAACTAAACCCACACCTCCTGCAACTTCACTTACTGAGTGTGATCCACCACTTCCTTCTTCACCAAGGGCCAATGATAAAAAACCACCAAGAAGAGCCTGAATCACCCTTGGCTGCTCTTCACAAACAGTTAACAGAGATCTAAATACAACAATGCCACAATATCTCGGATACAACAGACCATCACAATCCACACAAAGAAGCAAGATAAAGTGGTAGAAACAAGGGAGCAGGATACAGACCCAGAACACATCCCGGAGGAAGAAGCAGCATTGGAACTCTCTGATAAGGAATTCAAAAGAATTATATTTTGGTATCTTCAAAGGATTGAGAGACAGACCAAGGAAAACACAGACAAAACCCTAGAAGAATTTTGGAAGAAAATACAAGAACAAAATGACAAAATAAATGAAAAATTAGAAATGATTCTAAATCTACAGATAGAAATCCAGAAGATTAATACTAAATTGTCAGAAATAGGTAACACATTGCAAGGGCAAAGGAGTAGCATTGATGCAATGGAAGACAGAATTAATGAGATTGAAGACAAATACCTGAATACTTCTTTGGAAAGGGATCAATCAGAAAAAAGATCAAAACAAAATGAAGAAAGCCTAAGGTTCATGTGGGATACAATCAAAAGGAATAACCTACGTGTCATTGGAATTCAAGAACAGGAAGAGAAAAATAAAACCACTGAGAAAATTGTCCAAGATTTGTTGGAGGAGAACTTTCCTGATATGATGAAAGATGAGAATATATCCATTCAGGAAGTCCAATGTACCCCAAACAGGATATTTAGGGTTTAAAATTCACCTTCTTCTAAAGAGATGCATTAGCTTTCTGAAACTAGTAAACTCATAAATGTACTGCCATCGAGTTGATTCTGACTCATAGCAACCCTACAGGACAGAGTGGAACTGCCCCATAGAGTTTCCAAGGCTGTAAGTCTTTACAGAAGCAGACTGCCTCATCTTTTTCCCACAGAGCAGCTGGTGGGTTTGAACTGCTGACCTTTCCATTAGCAGCTGAATGCTTTAATCACTCTACCACCAGGGTCCTATAAACTCACAGGAAGGCAAATTCAGTGTACTTACTTGCAAGAGTATCCTGGGAGATGCTAATGGTTACGTGCTATTGTTGTTGTTATGTGCCATCAAGTTGGACCCCTCCTTGGGGTATCACTAAGGAAGTAGATTGCCCAACCTTCCTTCCAAGGAGTGGCTGGTGGGTTTGAACTGCGGCAGCTTTCTGGTTAGCAGTCAAGTGCCTTAGGCACTAGGCTACCAGAGTTCCTATAACACGTAAAAGAGTAACGGACATTTTTCTTTAGGTCTTTGGTGATCTTGACAGTATGTCTACAGTATGCTTTAAAGTGAGGTAAGAAAATAAAATGCAGTCACAAAAGCTATATTGTCCAGTAAGAAGAAAAGTCATAATGGCCCTTTGTAAGTAATTAGCTTCAATTAAATGGCAACTTTAGAGTGGGGTGTTTTGATGACAGGATTTACACCTAGGGCTCAAACAATCTGGCGGTGTTGAGGAAAGTTAATGTTTCCCCTTTGCTGTGGTCACTGTGTCCTAAGGAGAGGCTGGGCCAATCTGCCTGCAGCAGGGTCAGCTGTAACCAAAAAATGACTCACACCATCCAAGACTCACAGGGTGAGGGGCTGGAAAGGACCGTGGAAAACAGCAAGTCCAACCCTTTCATTTTACAAGTGAACATGCATTTGCACATGCACATACTCTGGGAAGGAGCTCTGGTAGCATAGGGCCTAACACACTTGACTGCTAACCAGAAGGCTGGCGGTTCAAACCCACCAGCCACTCCTTGGAAGGAAGGTTGGGCAATCTACTTCCATAGTGATACTGCCTCGGCAACCCAAGGAGGGGTCGCTATGAGTCAGGGCCAAATCGACAGCACATAACAACAACAACAACATACTCTGGGAGCTGCTGAACGCTGCAACAAAAACACAGACCTGGCACGATTAAGAAGTAATGGTGGTGCCAAGTCTGAGACTCGACAGCAACTGGCTTTAACGGTGGTGTTGGATAAGTGCAGACCCCTGACGCCCAGCCTGGTGCTTTCTCAACAGCACACAGCACAGGAGCTGGCCTGAGTCCCTGCAGCTGCGGGACAAAGCCCCTGGACCAGAGGGCACTTACAAAGCAGCCTTCTTAGATACTGAACGGTCTAGAGTTTTCTAAACACAGCTGATTTGATTGCAGTCGGAAAAAATACTTTTCCAAAGACTCAAGTTGTTCTGAGACATCCAGCCTCTGATGGTTTTATCCCTGGGAGGCAATCCTTTTTACTTTTTTTTTCACATAACTCGTTGCCAAAGACCGGATGAAGATACAGCACCTCTTACACATAGGTCTTTATGCAAGAGCCTTAAACTAAAAAGGCAAAGCTGTGATTGTTTTCCCTCATATTTTGTTAGCTAATGAGAGTTCTCTTGGGAATAAAGCACCCACACGGGCCACAGCAAACACTCCCTTCAGCGCTACAGCACCTGTATTCATTTACCCAGAGCCTCTCGATATAGCCTTTTCAAACGAAAACTGGAGGCTGATTTAGTGCCTTCACCAATGTATTCTCTGACTTCTTAATATATTTAAATCTGTTCTTCTGCTCCAGCACCACGGTGCAAATGACCATTTCTATGTAAAACTGATGCTTGTTCTTATTCTAATAAATTTCTCAAAATAAAACAAAATAAAATGCACATCTGTGGTTGCATGTCATTTTGTTAACATTGTATACATAACACTGACAATACTACAAGTAACTGTAAAGCAAGGACCATTTATAATCTT